TGTTGCGTTCAAACTGCAGACAAGTCGTAAAGCCTGCTGAGATGTAATGATCTCAGTATCATAAATCATCATCGGAGTGCTTGTGTCACAGCACGCTTGCTCTCAAAGTGACGTGTTTAAGAGTGTCTGTTTATTTTGTCTCTATAAATATGTGGGAGAAGCAGACAACGGTAGACAGAGCAAGACAGAGTGTGTGTGTGTGTGTATGTGTGTGTGTGTGTGTGTCAGTCTTAATTGCCTACCACATCATCCCACAGTTAGGGTTGAGGAGATTCTCCATCTTGTTTCAATTAACCGTTCAGCGGTGTTTATATTGGGTTCCACCAACATAGCTTACCTTTCCCAACACAGACCAACAGCTGTGTTTCCCTGTCTGACCCTAAAACCCCACTCTACCCTGTTAAACCCACCTCAGCCATTCAGATCTTTACCCTTTGGATCGGTACTCTGCAGAAAAATACTTAATCAGCACCTCATTATTACAGCCACACCCCAGCCCAGAATAGAAGCAAACTGGCTCCATAACAAGGCTCGGTCAGGGTCCAGAAATGTTACACCTACAAGTGTTTCTCACTTTGTAGTTCTTGGCAATACTGTCTGTAGGTCATGGAGAGGTTAGCATGTATGGGAAGATAAGGGCCATGGACACTGGATAGGGTGGCTCAGTAAATCACAGTTGCCTGTTATTGTTCCTTCCTGCCTTGCTTCCCTTCTTCCCTCCTTTTTATTTATGTTTTTTTTTTTGTGGTTCAGCTTCATCCATGCCATGCAGGAGGAATCATTCATAGACTCATGCAGTGTAAGTGTTCAGGATCCTGCTTCTAGTCTCCTCTGTCCCCCTTCTTTCACTCTCCCTGGCACTGTTAAACAACAGGACTCTTATCACAGCAAATTGAGGAAGCTACCAATAAACGGAGATGTGAATTTGACCGGAGAAAAAGAATGAGGGGACGGCTGTATTTATTGATGCCAAAGAAAGAGTCATCTGGAGATGTTTAAGTTGGACAGGCCAGTTTCCGGTGTCTGGAGCAGGCCAAAAATATCCAGAAACAGAAAAATCCGGCAGAAGGGAAAAGGATACACCTCCTCATTTCTCATGTGACCCTCTACATTTAGCAAACTAAGCTGAATTTTGGGGTTGCAGCATACACCGTGGTTGCAAGAAAGCTTTTCAAGCCAAGCTTATAAAATGTAATTGCATCTTGATATTGCTAAATGTTTGGGAAGAGAGCATTTCAATGAATCACATATGGCACAACTGCATCTCACTCAAATAAACAGAATGACACCGAGTACACAAGGTGTGCCACATATGCATACCTGCTTTGCATGGGTGCTCACACTGTTTTCATAACACGGGGACTGCTTCTTGTTGTAAAAGGCAGAATAGCTGAATCATTCAAACTTTTTATAAGCACCCTCCACTGCACATCTTAGTATCTATTTATGGATCCACAAACCAGACTGATTTTGTTATGTTAACAGCTTGCGGTTTTAACGGCTGCTGTTCCAGCCGTGCAAGGTGAACACAAGTGCCCAATTTAGGTCATACAAAAAAAAAGAGAGAGTCAGTGCAACGGCTGCAGTGGACTGAAGGGCCAGGATTCATTCAAGCAAGCCAAACCTGTGAGCAAGATTTGTGTTTGAAAGCACAGACAGGAAGCTACAAGCTGTAGGGAGAGGCAGAGAGAGGGAGCGCAAACCAAGGGTCTAGACAGAAACCTCTGCTTGTTTGCTTTTTAGCAGGGTATAACCAGCATTTGAAGGTTTGTGCAGCTCTGTCACAATACACTTGTTACATGCTGATTTAAAGGTGATCACTCATATTAGATAGTCTCAACTCCTCCTGCCCCTGCACAGCGGATTTCTTAAAGTAGGCAGACTTTACGTTGTTATGTATCAGTACCGTCCTGCAGACACAGATGTTTGGGTGCAGACACACACACACACACACACACACACTCACACATCAGGAAAGAGAGAGAGGTCTGCAGTTTCTCATGGCTGCGAGCTGCCGCTGCAGAAAATTCCCCCTCATCTCCTCCTCTCCCCGCCCCCACATCTTGCCTCCATTATTCCCGTGTTTTCGAAGCAACTCCGGTGACAGCGAGAAGCAAAGCTGGCGAAGTGAAGGCAGACTGGAGCACAGTCAGCCGCTTCTTCCGGCTGTCCCCCTCGGTTGCCGACCGATGGTACGGTCTCCCGCGTTCCGCACGTTCACACGCCGTTTGTGCACGGTGCCGGTAGGGAAAGGTGTGGGGAGGGGGTGGGCGGGGGTTGGTCGACCGGGACTAGCACCGTGGAGCTGAGTGCTTTCCACAAGGAGGGATGAGAGAGAAGCCTCGCTTGAAAAATGCTCCACGGTCGCCGTTAATTAGCGCCTATTTATTTTTTGCTTGAACGGAAGGAGGTGAGAAGACGGGATTATACGGCCAGCTCGCAACTAACGTTAACTAATGGTCACAAACATGGATGCTGATGTGCCTCATCCTCTAGGCCGGACAGAAAAGCGGGTGTTTTTTGAGGATTTTCTGGCTGCAACACGACTCATTTCTTTCTGGGATTAGATTTTTTTATTATTATTTTTGTTTTTTCTCTCCTTCTTGGAGCCGGCTTCTGTGAGTGGCAGTGAGCATTTATTTGCAAGGTACTAACTAATGATAACCTTACTGCGGTCGCTTATACTGACCAAGCATTACTGTCAACTCTGTGTGTGTGTGTGTGTGTGTGTGTGTGTGTGTGTGTGTGTGTGTGTGTGTGTGTGTGTGTGTGTAATTGTGCTGTCAACCCCAGCGAAGAAATAATGAAACACTGTGAACATGGCTGCTTCAGACAGCACAGTGGTGGTATATGTCTCACTTTCATCTCTGGTCTTTAAATATCAGCGTTTCTTGGTGGTGAGTCAGGCTTGAGGATGCATGTTAACCAATTGAGACCTGACCACTAATGGGGTCAGAAATGTTGCTTTGTTGAATGCATCATGAATCACACAACAGGATAAGGTGATGCAGCCAGCAGCACATGTGCCTTTGGCCACTGTTTCTCTCAGAAGAGCTGCATTGTAAAGAAGAAACATTTTGTAACAATGTATATTATTTAGCTCATGGTGCAGCTAGATTGTGTTATATTGAAAATTCCTCATTTTCTACTTTTGTCAGCCTTCTTTACTGATAACAACCTTGTAATAGAGACTTATTACATTTATTTTCATGGAGTTTTGTGGCCAAAACCCATCTGTTTGTGCCAGATTGGGCTGCTTAGTTTTTGTTCCTCAGGGCAGTGATTTGTTACCTTGACATTAAGACTTGCACTATTCCCATGTGCCTCAAGCTGAGTCCCAGTGACAGCGTGCATGCCACATTACAGTTTGAAGTGTTCTGCAGACAGGATACTTTAAATGTTTGATTATTATACTCTAGTTTTCTGCTGAGTAACTGAACAAAAATATGTGGATTAATGCGATGTTATGCCTTTACAGCAACCTTAGTTGCACTTGACATCTCTGAGTTGCTGTACAGCTCACATCTGGTTGCTTCTGCACCACTAAACCTACCACTAAGCAGCTATGGTAGTACCGTAATTAAAATCACTGTGTACAGTACAAACACATAGTGTTTTCAGAGATATAATGTAACTCCAGGACAGGAGGATGGGGGATAAAAACAAAGGGCAAGGATGGAAAATGTAAGGGTTTGTGTGTCACTTGACTGTGTGCACAGGTGCACCCAATCTAAACCCTCAAACCACAGGGGATCAGTGGCGAGGGGGAGGGTAAGCTGAACCCTGCAAAGACACTAGAAGCCACACACGCCCACCAGTAATGATTTGGGGAAGTTCACACTGGGATGAGTGCTGCGGTACTTCTTTCCCTCACTTTTTCTGGTATCATCGTCTCTTTGCTAAAGTCTCACCCCGATGCAAGCTGGCACAAATGGTGAGAAAGTAGGCTAACTTTGTTAAGGAGACACCCTTACCAAATTACAATAGCCTCAGGAGGCCAATATGATCCTCTTGATAGAGTTACAAACCAGTTATACTTGTGTTCAGATTAATAGCATCTGTTTTTTGAGAGGAGTTTTGGACAATGGTGATGTTTCCCCCGTCTCTTTATCCCCCCCCCCCAAAAAAAATACACACACCATCCTCCAACCTCTCTAGTCCCCATCTCCCTGATTTGAGGGAAGCGTGGGTGGAGCCAAAGGGTGTTTGTGTTCCTCAGGGTCCCTGCTTCCTGTGAAATCGTGGAGGATCTCCACATGTGCTGAAAAACATACGTACACCCAAAAATGCAGAACACTTGAGACCCAGCCTCTTCACATGGCTTTAAATGTCCGGCAGTGTTTATGCAGTGAATGTTAAAGGCCTGGTCCTGGATTTGTTTGTATTTGAGTAGCAAATGTTAGGGCAGGTTTGCAGAGACGGCTTGGCTTTGTCTGCCGTGTAAAATATTTGGTCTAACACGTGTTTTCCCACAGTTGACTGTTTCATCATTGCACCTGCTTCACTGTTTACGCCTGACCTTGGCAGACGGATATTATTCATTCTTTTGGAGCTCTATTCAGCAAACCTGGTATCAGCAAAACAGACAAACACTCCAGTGAACACTGTCAGCAGGCAGCTTCCCTCACTTTGGTCACTAGTCCTCTGATGGATAGTGGATTTCCTGCTCAAGGAGGAATGTTAAAAATGTCCGTGAGGAACAGAGCAAGGCCCATTGTGTGTATTTAGATCAGCTAACCTTGTTATGGCTCGAGCTAACACACATGCAAACTCCAAGCCTGTCATGCAGGGTATTGCTCACATACTGTACTTATTGATGAGAGGCACAATGATGTTTTTCAATTTGAGCAAAATATATGAGTCATTTGGAAATGTACCAAATTTTTGTTGCATGAGTTGTAACAATGTAGTTCTGTAGAATAGTGGGATACAGGTGTATGTTTGGATGAGCTGTTATAAACAAGTATATTAAGAAACATGCATTTTTTTCTATTTCTCAGATGACAGAGGGCCGGCGATGTCAGGTCCATCTGCTGGACGACAGGAAGCTGGAGCTCCTCGTTCAGGTGAGCGTGTCTTCCTCCTGACCTCTAGCTCTTTCTTTCCTTTCTCCCCTCTCACTTTACAGACTATCAGTTCCTTACAGCTAGGGAGAAGTGATGTCTGCAGTCCCAAGTGACTTCCATTATTGCTGACGAAGGGAAATTTGGTCAGGAGTAGGTGACGCTGCGCTTTCTTGATGCTTTCCCTGATCTCTCTCATACACATGCATAAAAGCACACATAGGTTGCGCTCGCAGCACTGATTTGCAGTGCCTGTTTAAACTCTGAATCCTGACATACAGTTCCACTCGATCGAGTCCTGAATGGAAACCTTTGCTTCAATTACCCTGGCTCTGCTTTTAGCCTTTAGTTCTCCCAGCAAGCCTCTCTGTAGTAATGAATAAAAACAGCACCATCCTAAAAAAAACTGCCTCTCTTTCATTTACGTTTTTACCATTACCTTTTTCAGCTTTCAGCTGCAACTCTCCTCTGGTCTGCTTTCTTTTCTATACCAAAGGTCTTCATTGATTGCTAATGATATTGACTTTTGCCATTCTTTTTATTTTCTTTTGGCTTGGTTAGATACACTGAAATGGATTCATTAGGAGCTCCTTACACTCTTCCTAACCTCCCATAGTTCCCTTTGGTCTGACCATTACTCGATTCCTCTGAAACAGAGAAAGACAAAAGAAAGTAATTGCCCTGGAACAGGAGAAGAACAGCAGGCAGAGAATAGAACGATTGACGCAGAAGCTCGGGAGGTTGAGAGGGAGAGAGAAAAATGAGATGAGGGCTAAGGAATGAAAAGGAGATGACACTAAAGGGAGAGAGAGGAGAAAATGGAGAGGAGAGCCAAGGATAGGTCTGCTGACTTTCTGATTTGATTACTCTGCCAGAACTGATCCTCCCTTTCAAATTGGTACTTCTTTTTCTGCTCCTCTTCCTTAGTCACTCTGTCTGTCTCTCCACTCTTGGCTCCTCATGTCTTCTTTTCTCATTCAACAGCTGGCTAGCTTTTTACCTGTCTTTCCATTGCTTTATCTCAATTTAAAAATACAAATGTTTCAGCTCTATCTTGCATCCATCCACCCTCTCTATTGCTCTTCTCGTTTCTTTCAGTACATAAAAATAAAATAAAAAGACAACTTGGGGCTTTAACATAAATATTTCTTAATGTAGTGCTTATGTGAAGAGTTTTGTTGGTATATTCGGATAAGGAGTGAGTGATAAAAATTGGCTGTGTTAACCGCGTTTGTGAGAAGAAACAAGACTGGCAAAAAGGTCAGAAAAGTGGATGTCATTAACAAACTTTTGTCACATAAATCAGGAAACTGCTGGCTTTCTTTCTCTCTCAGTCCCTGTCCTTGCCTCCATCCGTTAGGCGGATGTTCTGCAGGTCATTGAGTTGTTAGTGGGACCACAGAGAATCACAGTGTTATTCTTAAGTTTTCCACTGAACTAAAAAGCAGTCCAGTCCTCCGCTTGTTTGCAAAAAAAAAAAAAAAGATTTGGATGTTCACATTTCAAAAACAGTCTAAACCAGTGTGTTTATTTATAATTTGTGTTTATTTATAAGTAAAGTAAAGTGTAAAGTGTAAAGTGTGCATGTTAGTCCCCATAGGGAAATAGTTCCTCTGCATTTAACCCATTCACCCAGTGAAGCAGTGGGCAGCCACCAATGCAGCGCCCGGGGAGCAGTGTGTAGGGACGGTACCTTGCTCAGGGGTACCTCAGGGTAGCTGTTCAGTGGAGTTGAACCCCCGACCTTCCGATCATGGGGCCACCACTCTACCTACTGAGCTATCCCTGCTATCTCCCCCGATCGTAAAACAGCGCCATTGTCAGGTCTGTCCCATTGAGGTTTTCATGAAACTTGTTGTAAGCACGCCAGGTACACAAGCCAGTTACCATCTGAAGAAAGGCTCCTACTCCTGTCAGTGAGTTGTAACATTGACCAGCTGTTTAATCCCAGAAGAGTCATTTAGCCTTGTCTACTTCCTCCAGTCTGATAGCGTGCCCTCTGTGGTTTGCTTGTGGAGCAATGCCTCATTGGCAGGGAGCAATGTACCAGAGGGACAGCGCGCTTATTAACCAGGTTGTAAAGATGTAAAGCTAACTACCAAACACACCTCTCGGTGAAATTGTATATCAGTACAGAAGCTATTACTTACGTAGCCTAGACTGTTGCGAGGCTAAAGGGTAAATAAGGTTCAGTTGTGTAACAGTGTTGCTTTTCTACATCACTGAGTCCTTTTACATAATATGAAGGGGAAGTTCAGTAAACTTTAAGTCTGTATGCAAAGCAAAAAATATAAGAAGAGGTTATTGTGCAGGGAAAAATCACAATAATGCAGCATGTGTCTCCAAAAAGCCTTAACCTTAGACAGCCTTAGAGGGGATAGGCTGCAACTAATAAATCAGTTGGCAACTCATAAATCTGAGCAACTCTGAAGGCAGCAAAGACCTTACTGAGTGTTTGCAGAGATCGGGCCATGACTTGTTTCCAGCCAGCCAAGTGTGCAACCGTTTTTTTGTCACTTGTCTTTAGTGTGTCTGCTACTCGCTTACACCTCCCTGTAATTCTTATGCTGTTAATTACCTGTGCTGCTGAGGAGGCACACGCTAAATATCTATTAGCAGTAATGCTGTCTAAGCTTTCAGAGAACTGTACAGTCTGATAGATGGCTCCATAGTGTATGCGTATGTAATGTGTGTCTGCATGGTCTGTATATGTCTAGGGTGTGTTTAGTGTACCGCATCACTTACAATACTGCCTGTCTTTCTCTGTCTACATCACATTATTACACATCTGGTATCTGTAATCCCAGAAATAAGTTGCCACGCATGCATGTGGAAATGGTGGGTTAGAGAAATGCTTCCTGTGTTGTTCTTAATCTTCAGTAATACACTCCTGATTTTTAACAGCGTATCTGGGGTTTATTTTAGCGCCCCATCATCTGCCCAACAACGTGCCAATATGTCCCTCTTACCCGCTCACTGCTTGCTACACCGTGGTGGGATGGATGTTGTTTAATTGATATTGTTGCCACAGCAGTTTGGCTGCTCTGTGGTAATGAAAGACCATCGCAGCATGTTCCCCAGACTGAACCAAAACAGGTATTACTGCTAATGCCATAAAGATACCCTCTCTTCAAAACCTAAAATTTCCACATATAAAATGTGTTGAGGGCTTCAAAGACTTCTAGTGTAGATCATCTAAGTTTCTGCTCTCCCATTTGGAAGAAATGACAGGGCCAATCAGACCTGTTTTGGATGGGAGTACCAATTTCAGTTGAGTCACACAGATCAGGACCAAAACAAAGAGAAAATCACCACTCTAACCTCTGCTTCTCTGCTTGTGCAATGTAAACATACAGCCGCAGAACAAAAAAATATTCAGAGACATTCCCGATCTTATCTTTGCTAAATTTGCAATTGTTCTCTCTGTAAATATGTATTTGGAAATTTTACTCTTAACGAGACATTTAAATAGAAATGTTTACATCTGTGAATATAGGGTCGAATCAACTTATGCGGTAACTTCACCTTCAGCTCTCTCTTTCAATTCTGATCTCTCCTGAGCCTTTATGTGTAGCAGGATCACTGTAGGCATCGTGATTATATGGGATCTAGGTCAGTGAAGATGTGGTAGTGTGTGTGTGTGTGTCTGCATGACATCACCTCCTTCCCTTTAAATAGCTCTCAGTAGCTTATGACACTGAAGTTGTAGCTATGCAGTGAGTAGATACTATAGGACATTAGGAAGAGGCTCTTAAGAGTGTGGATACTATGGCACTACAATGTCGCTGTTGTGTGTGTGGGCACGTGTAGAAAAATGGTTTCAGACAATATGTATTCCTCATGCCCTCCTCTCCTAGACAGTACAAACTCATGTGCTCCTTCTGTATGCTGGGAGTGGCCTGTATAACACAGTCTTGTGGCTGCATGCAGATGAGTGTGTATGCATGTGTGTTTGTGCGCGTAAATGTAGGCAGCGAGGCACACCCATGGTTAACCTCAGTTACTGGTGCACTTTTATTCAGGATGTGACAAACCAGCAGCATATGGCAGCATTCCCTGTACTCTTGCTTTGCTTTAAGGTGATCTGCATGCTATATAGCTCTTGTGCTAGCATCTCTCTGCAATACAGTGGTTCAGCCCATAGCCGTGACTCTGCAGTGGAGGTGTGGGTCAGGAAGGAGAGGGGAGGGGAAGGGTACCTGCACTGTCAGCAACATCCACGCACTCCATCCATCTTTCTCTTGCTCTCTCACTCTCATTTATCTCCTCCACTCTGGCCCTTTCCCTCTCCTCCCTGGTGTTTGTCAAAATGCTTAGTCATTGCGGTAACTCAACAGCCGATATAATACATTAGCATAAAGTTTTACTACATCTACTTTTCCAATTAAACTACAGTGTGGCAAACCACTTCACACACACACATGACAGCTGATTAAAACAACCTTAGCCTAATCCAAACTCGTATATCTTCCTTCCTGCAGCCCAAGCTGATGGCTAAAGACCTGCTGGACCTTGTGGCCTCTCACTTCAACCTAAAGGAGAAGGAGTACTTTGGAATTGCATACACAGATGAAACGTAAGTTAAAATAAAATATTATGTCACTCAGTCTTTAATTTAACTTAATTGTTTGGATTTTTTCAGTGTTGTAACATGAGATCACTGTAAATGACACCAGCATCAGATCTGATACACAGTTGGTGGCAGTAAAGTTATTAAAGCAACATGTGGGTCAGCAGTAGTGTAATCATAGGCAAATTTAGTATCAAAGTTCAGGTGCTGTTTGTTGTGCACATAGGCAAAGCAACAAGGATATCAGAGGGGAGTGCACGTGAACATAGCTTCTGATTTCATGGTTGGCTGAAGCCAGTGTCATGGACACTGATGTCGTGGACAGTGTGTTTGTAGATGCCAATGACAAAGATAGAAAGCCTTAAATAAATGCTATAGAGTTAGTGTCAAGGATAATGAGTAGTAGCAGGTATGGTTTCTAATTACATTTGATTGCGTTCAGTTTTGAGGTATAATTTAAAATCTTTTTCCACATGGCTACCGTTCCACAACAACCGTTTATATTTTACTCTGTGTGCCCACTAATTGGACTTTGTAGCACTAGTGAACAAAACTGATAATGGTGGACTAAATGTAAAATATATACTCATAGATTAACTTAAGTTGTAGCACAGTGTACAAAAGCACCACTTTAATAATGTGGCATTTGGTTTTGGATTGGTTTTCTCTTGAGGAATTCCGAGAGCACTTTTCCTGTTAAGGCTTAATTAACTATGAAATTGAAAAGAAAAATCTAATTTAGCTTACATGTCTAATTTGTCTTTTTCTTGTTGTTCAGTGATTTAAAAAACAAAAAAAACAGATTTATTTTGTCAGCAACTGTCTTTATCATTGTCGGTAAAGCAAAGAATGAAGATCTGTGAAGATCACATTTAACCGTGAAGTGATGTGGGTGGTTATCTTTCTCTGGACTAGCAAAGATCACAAGTCTGTGTTTGCCAGTAGGCTTGCCATGAGAGCTGTGCTTGAAATGCAAACATGACATTCAAATTAGCTTTGTTGGGTTTTCTGACCTAGAAAGGCAGAAACGCCACGGCATGATAGTGATGCCAGCGATTTACATGCAGGCAAACATCGCCATGGCCGTTTTGCCTTTCTGTTTTTGTTTTATCTCGTGCATCCACTGATGTCAAGCAAGACTGGCCTCTGCCCTTTGGTATTTACATGGTAGCGACTACTGCCAGTGTCTGTCCAGCGAAGCATTGTCCACTATAGAGTCTTAATTCTGTGATGTGTAGATTTGTTGCTTTTGCCTGGGGAGAGGAGACGCCTGAGCTCTGACCGCTCACTGGTCAAAGAGGCTGCGTGTTGGGGACAGGAGGCCAAGAGATTGAGAGACAAGAAACAGAAGAAGGGAGAGTTTGAGAGAGATGTTGCTCAGTTGCTCAGGAGACCATGCAGGGTAACCAGGGTGACAAGCTGTCTGTGCGGTTTTTCTCTCTGTTGGAAACAAAGAGAGAGAAACGAGAGGGGAGGGAAGAGAAGAGGGGGACAGAGGCAAGCAAAGTGTGACAAAAAAGATAAATGGGATGGCTTAAGTAGAAAGTGTTCTGTTTCATGAGATGAACCTTTGTGTACCCTAGTTTGATATTAAGACATCTCTGAATTATAGTGTTGATTGTATGGTTGTTCTTCCCCATCAGGGGCCATTTTAGTTGGCTGCAGCTGGACCGCAGGGTATTAGAACATGAATTCCCCAAGAAGTCTGGTCCCATTGTCCTCTACTTCTGTGTCAGGTGAGTCTTTCTTCTGCACACCAATCATTGTCTGATTGCAGATGTATGTGGGAACGAAAGAAAGAAGTCTGTACGTTCATGAGTATACTCACACATTCATGCCATAATAGGAAGAGATTAATACGATTAGTTATGAAAAGCCCCTGTGAAATTGTTCTGATCACAGTGTTTACTTCCCACCATAGGGCCTCTCAGCCAATGGCAAGCCTCTCATACTTCATCAGAATGCACTGCATGCAGATAGCATCGGATTCATGGCGACTGTACTCAAAACAAACAAACAAACAAAATACCAGAAACCTTTTTCCTATAAGGGTAGGGTTTGGGGAGGTGGAGAAATCAGCACTGTGCATCTTTATGTTGAAGCTGTTTGACAAAAAACACTCGCAAACTCATTTATAAAAGGTCCTTTTTCAGTGGAACACTGAACAGCACAGTCATTATCCTTGTTTTGTATAAGCCCACCATGACTTTCTTGCTGTTGCTTAACTGTAGTCATCTCTTTGGTTAAAAACAAAATGCTTCTTTTGACCAACTGTGACAGGATTATAAAACTGCACCACAGTTCACTCGTTTTCTTTCCACCGACCCTCCTGTAGGACAGAAGAATTGCAATACACACACAGGCATGACCAAAATTCAGAATATAGCTGTTTATGATTGCATTTAGTGGTGTTATATATTTTATAGGCTTGTAAAAAAAAAAAAAAAAAAGCAATCCACGTGACATGAAAAAACACACATTCCTATGCACATACAGGTTCCTCTGAAATAAAATTGGAAAAATACGAAGGCTTTATTTTGAATTGTCCTGTTTTTTTCTTTGCACCGCTCAGGTTTGTGCACGAGCTGCGTCAGAGTTACATCGATATAAATGCTAGGACCGTATAATTCTCCAGCACAACATTGCTATAAAACGTTTAATAGTGTAAAGCGAAGTGATGCGCATGGACAAAATGTCAGTGAGTCATTTTCATGGTGGCATTTATATCGTGGCTCAAGTCATGAGACACGATATAAATGAGCTGTTTAGAAAAAGCATATTCTTAGCGCGCTGGCTGTATCCTGCTTAGTGGCGTCATTGCACAATGCCACAGCAATACAGTCAGAATATCTTAATTGTGTTTATACCTGCGTTAACTAACGGTCCTGTCGTTCCCAGGAGCCTGCATATACAAGCTGTAGTGGTAGTGTTGGTGGTTAGCTGTGTGGGGTGCAGGGTCACTGTGTGTGTATTTACACAGACTAATGGGTGTTTGAGGATGTGATGGTAGTGCGATGACACTGTGAACTCTGACACCTCATTGAGGCTTCATCCCCCTTCTTCATCATCACAGTTCCGTCTAATCTCTAACCTTAATCTCTCTAAATGTCACAGTACTGAATACACCCGCTCTCAACACATCTGGATCTGAATGTGTAAACATGCACACATTCAGATCCAGACTGTGGACTGCAGTGGAACAACAATCAGCCCAAATGCCAGGCCTGAATCTGTTATCAATCTGAGCATATTGTTTTTAATAAGCACAATTTAAAGGTTTGTTTATGCGCGGGGGTGTGTTTGTCTAATATGAAGTATGATGTGTGTTTATGTGTGGGTGCGTGTTTCTCTCTGTATGTCACGTTTCTGCATTCTCATGAGGTATTTGTGTGATGCGTGCGTTCCCAATAAGTGCTAGGCAGATGCCCACCTCCTGCTGATTCAGTGGGTGCTTTTTTTGCATGCTTGCTGCTGTGCTGGCAGTGTGGGCATGTCTCATCAACCGTGCTGCTTTAATTAAATGTTCACACTGAATATTGACAAGCACCTCTCATTCTCTCTTGCAGCTCAATGGGTAACGCGAATTAAGCCCCCCCACACCCCCGATTATTGATCTGCCTGCAATCCCTCTCACTCGATGCCTATATAGACCCGTATGCACTGAAATCAACACGCGCATTTCCGATTTATATTCATAAGGACATGTTTGCTGATCGCATTGTTCACAGAGCTATATCAAGTCAAGTGAACTCTTTTATGCACACCAGATGGGGGATTTAAGCTATTTATCCGCTAATCGCACCAATTCCCTGTTTGACTCCCAGCCCATTCACATCTGTGTATGACAAGCTTTACCACCAGTGATGTACCAGTGGGTGAATGAAGTGGTTTGGTTTGTAAAACTTAGCTTAGGTTTAAAGACACGATTAACAGCAAACGATTTACCATCTCTGAAGAAGATGTCAGGTGACACTTTAGAGCAGCTGAGCTATATGGAATCTTTTTGATGTGTGTTTTCACCAGAGAGGAGATAACAACGAGTAGCTTCCTGGTGCACCATTCCAGCTTCCCTCTGGCTTTGCATGCATTCATGAGCTAAATTTAAACTGCATTATTGTGTTAGTTCCCTGCTCACCGCTCTGCCAGAAGTGGGTTACTGTGTTTCTCTCTCCAGAAAGTGACAACATCTCTGTGTGTGGTAGTACTCTGTGTTTGTGTGCGAGCGCGTGTGATCACTGCACACTGCTGATGATGCACAGCGAAGTGCATCATGTGCACATTCAATCTGCGTGTGTGTGCGTGCATATTCACATTGAGGAATGTGCACACACTCACAAACTGATAATGAATCACTGCCAGCCACTGTGGCGATGTGGTGTAAGGGGAAGGGAAAGGATTTTGGCATAAGTGAGCAGCCTTTGGTATGGTGCGCCCCCATCTGGTCACTTTCACCACTGCAACCTTTCAGTCACATCTGCACAGTTTCGTTTTCATAGCTTTCCTGCATGCTAGCTTCTGTTTTTGAAGCAAACACAAAAAACACTCCTTCATGTATCTTCTTTCTGTTTCCTGAAGGTCAGTGAACACCCTTGCTTACTTTGAAGCTGCAGGAGTGTTTATATTTTCTTCTGTGTTTTCAGGTTCTACATAGAGAGTATATCCTACCTGAAGGATAACGCCACCATTGAACTGTTCTTTCTTAATGCAAAGTCCATCATATACAAGGTAAATAGCTAGTTTTTTTATGCATTTCAAGTACTGCTGGTTTCATCTCCTTCTCCTTTGGTTTATCTTTACATGCTATATGAATGATATGAATCCTCTGTGAAATTGCATTTAAAGCCAAGCTTTTTCTTCTGGCTTTAAATCATTTTTGGCTTTCAGTGGTTACATTTTATGGTGAAATTGCATAGAGTGCTGGGCTTCATGTTGCGTGCCACTTCCTTAGCCCATTTTTCTTTCTAAATGAAGAGATGCCACAAGAGGAAAGCTTGGACCTCGGTCCTGCGTGCTGATTTGCTGAAGCAGAAAATGTGAACCATGTGCATCATCTGTTACCCGTCATGTCATGCGCTGCTCCACATTTCAGCAACTAGCAAATGATTTTCATTGCCATCTGTCAGCGCTACGCCACAATTACTTTGGCTGTTTAAATAGCAATTTAAATTATGCATTGGAATACATACTTCCAGAAAGTTGCCCAAAGAGACAATTTAAAGGAGGAAAGATTTTGGAATTATTTTACCACTCAGTTAATATGGTACATTTTTTTAGAGTAAGGAGAGGCTATCCACTTCACTTAACTGGTTAAAATTCAAGCAGGGGCATCTAGTTATAGTTTGGTCAGCATACAGCACATTTATAGACACCAGTATCTAACAGTTATGTAATTTTTCCAGAAGAGGGCGTGTGCAGCCTGAAACTGTAAATAACTGAGCTGAAATGTTCTAATAAAGCCTTGTAGAAAACTGTGAGAGTGTCTAAAGACTTATTTTCTTTGTGTTAAAACGTCTTGTATGTAGCAAGACATTCAAATATCGGCAGTTGCAATATTTCAGGATGGTTAAAAAGGCTGGTAAAGTCCCACAAAGGGAAGGATTCATGCTCAGTCCAGCTAGTAAACATGTTAAAGCGTCTTCACCAAGATACCAATTTTTATCTGCTCATTTATTACAACTCATATTAGCTAAATACCAGTGTAGGAAAGCAAAAAAGAAAGAGAAACAGCACAGCGTAGCAGATAGAAAGATATAAATGTGCTTCCTGCAGTCACTATTCTTGTAGTTTCTGCTGTGCTGTGAAAAAACAGTACAAACACACACAGTGTGTGCTGATTTGCAGCCTCACTGGGTGGTACACCCACGTTAGGTTTGTTCTGTCTAGTGTTTCATCCTGGCTGTTTGATCCTCCATCAAATTAAGAGGTGAATTGTAAAGGGCACATTCCTGGGATAGGTGACCCACTACTCACTGCCCACTAATCCTCTCTGTTAATGTACACATATCATGTCATATATATGTTTACTCCCAAAGTAAGTATTTGGCAAATTTTTCACAGGAACGCACCACATGTCACTAAATCACAAATGTTTGTACCAGTGTTTGCATGTCTGTCTCTGTCTGTTCTCCCTGCTTGTTGCTTATCTCTTCATCTACGTGTTATATAACAGTAGTAAACATGCATGCATCCATGGTTAAATTCTGAGTTGGTATAGCAATATGTAATGCTAATACCCATGACCACTGACATTGGTAAATGCCATCTTAGGACAATATCAGTCAACAGGGTTTGATATTGACAGATACCTGTAGATCAGTGCGTCCCTAGTAATGCATTTAAAACACACACTGGTAAATGTTCTCAGTAATCAAAAACCAGAGCATCCATGCTCACCCTCAACCCCTCAACCCCCTCTCCCAAACCCCTCCACTTTGTCTCTAATCTTTGATCTCTTTCTGCATGAAGACATCATGAAAAAAGAAGGGTTATTGGCATCTAAGTGAAAGGAAATATCATCTTATCTCGACTGATGAAATGAGTGATCATTTCAGGAATGTCCACTTTTTACCCCCACAGGGATCAAAGTGTGTTTTATTTATTTGTGAATGTCTCCAATGGCCTTTGCTCACTCCTTTTCTCCCCTTTTTGCAGGAGCTAATTGAAGTAGACAGTGAGGTTGTCTTCGAATTGGCTTCCTACATTCTCCAAGTAAGCTTGTGTGTGTGTGTGTGTGTGTGTGTGTGTGTGTGTGTGTGTGTGTGTGTGTGTGTTGTATGTTTGTTTGTGTGTCGGTGTGTGTACCACAAGTTATTCCAGGGGCTGTTCTTTTCTGAAACCGTTTGAAGTTTTCCTCCAAACTATCTCCACAAGCCTTTGATCCTAATTGACGATGATTAAACTCACATTATCTACTGCAGTAATAATTGTGAGCGATTAAACTCTCATTATCTAATGTAACTATCAATTTGACGTTAATCTGCAGTAACGCTGGGAGGTTTCAAATCCTAAAAACCTCAGTTGACTTTGGTAACACAAATTTTGGTCTACCAGATAAATGGTGGACAGGAATAGCTGTTGTCACAGAGAAGCACTTACGCTTCACAAATCCTCCTCGACTCCAGCCCTTTCCCTTCCCTTTCTCGGAGTAGGTAAGTCAATTAACCGTGGTTCGCAAGGTCATGTTACACATAAACTAGGCTGAGTAATGTGGGTGCGTGTTTTCGGCCTCCGTGTGCAGGTGCAGACACACAGTGTCAGGTATCTGCTCCGTAACTCTTCAGAAGTTTCGTTCCAGATGGTCGTTTAATGTTTCTCCTTGATTCCAGCATAAAAAAACTTAAAAGCACATTTTATGGCCACTGTTTAGTGCTCACATATCCACCTGTATAAATTGTCCTATCATCTTTGACCTCCTTTTCCCCTTTTTTCTCTTTCACAGGAGGCTAAAGGTGATTTCACTAGGTATGTATACTCATAGTCATCATAGCTATTATGTCCTTTTTGAGGTTGTTAAAAGCAACAAAGCCACTAAAAACTAAATATGCTAACGGCTAACAAAGTATCTTGACATTTTCAAGGACTGGGTGTGGTTTATGGTCTGGATGTGGTCCTTTGCTCCCCTCTCAATCACCTATATCTGTGCCTTTAATTTGATTTACCTCACCTTCTTATTTTTCTCCTACCAGTTTTGAGCCGTTCGGATTTTCACTTTTCTGCTGGGTTATATTTTCATTTTTGACTTATTAGGGGAAAAAATACTAATTTATGTGCAAGTTTTATGTGAGCTGGGGACCTCATGTGGCCCTTCTGATATTCATCTGTGTGATGTTGGCTTAAATGTATGTGATTCCTCATCCCTTTATTGTAGCATGAAAAACATACTACTACAGCAATCACCTTTGACCTCATTTCAACCAGTGAAAGGAGTAAATAAACACAATAGGGATGGAATGTGACACACTCTGGAGACATTACTTCACATTCCTACCCTTTTTCTTCCCACGCATATACATAAATCTTTTTTTTCTAAAAGCTCATAGTTCCTGCCCTTTGCATTTCTCATCATAACTTTAGTTTTACGTCTCCTCCTAAAATACAGTTTTCAAACCAAATACCTGATTTCCTTTGTTAAATGCATATCATATTGTTCCCAAAGAATTCAGTAAATTGACTGATTTTCAGTGCGGCTTATGTTAATCTGACTATGTTTCAGTAATCTTAATTGAATCTTAGTAAAACAGCGCTTCATTTCTCTCTGCATTTAACAGTTTAAAGAAAAAGATTGGAACAAAACACTATTTTTTTGGATGTTTTTCTGCACAGCTTGCACTTCAGATTGTTATCATGTATCCCAAAGTTGTCCACCCAACCGGTACACTTAATAAATAGCTACATAGTGAGTATCAGTCAATGCAGACGCACAGCTGTGTTCACACATTAAGGAACAGATGGGCAGGGTGGATGGATCTCTGCCAGGGCTTTAGCTCATAGGTTGTCATGTTCCCAGGGCTTTCCCCAATCTTCTGAGGCCTAGGCAGAGGCCGGAGAGAGGCTGGGGGATTAGAGTTGGGTATTAAGACCTCCTGCCGCTGGAGGTCTGAAAACTGAATCTGGGGCCAAGTTACTTTAGCTGTCTGTATGCTTCCCGGTCTCATTTAGTCTTTCTCAGTCTTAATCTTTTCCTGTCCCATTCCTGTTTTGTTTTGTTTTTTTGTATCGCCTTTTATCTTTCTTTATTTTATCTTTGTGTCTCAGCTTCTGTCGCTCTTTTCTTTCTTCTGCTTCCAGCTGTCAGTGTCTACTCTCCGCAGCTGTTCAGACAGACCACAGAAGCATTTAGACCGTGGACATTTACTCCTGTCTCTTAACCAAATGTCCCTTCTTCCAAAATGTTCTAAAGTTCATTTTAAGACTAGGAGGAAATCCTTTTTTTAATATTTAATTTACAACTTTTTTTAAGTTGTCCCCTTTCTACAGTTGATTGATATCTTCCAGGTTTGTGTGAAACTGTTGAGAATAAGTGTCGCTGATCAAGTCTGCTCTTTTTCTTTCACAGTAACGATGCAACTAGGTCTGACCTGAAAAAGCTGCCTGCTCTACCCACCCAGGCCCTGAAGGAGCACCCGTCACTGGCTTACTGGTGAGACACTTTTACCCAGAAAAACCCACCAAACGTTTTATAAGTTCACATGTTGTTTATCGTCTTGCTGATATTTTCCTCTTTTCTCTTTATCCCACCCCCCTACAGTGAAGATCGGGTCATAGAGCATTACAAGAAGCTCAGCGGGCAGAGTAGAGGGCAGGCAATCGTTAAGTAAGTGTGTAAATGTCTTATGTATTCACACAGAGATAAGGTGGTAACGCCTCTAAGAAATCCCCCACATTTTGGCTGGTGTAGTGTCACCCCAGTTTGTGACTCAAGCAAAAGCATTATGTGTTTCACACAACTGCACTGGGGTTTAGTGTGGCATGGCCATGCCAGCTCTACCCTTCATGCAGATGTTGAATCGGCTCTGTGACTACCTCTGCTGAGGGCTTAAAAGCACAATAACAATTCCCCCCAGTTCTGTCTTTGTACAGTACCTTTCACTTAGACGTGTGAGGGGGAATAAAGACACAACCACTCTGCCTTGAACAGGGGCTTTGTGTGAAGGGGGCTTATGCTTTTAGTTATGTTGGTCCAGCATATTGAAAGCTGTCTTCTCTGTAACCCTTACATGTCTCTCTTTTTGCTCCTCACAGTTATATGAGCATTGTAGAGTCTCTACCCACATATGGAGTGCATTACTATTCTGTAAAGGTACAGTTTTACTGCTCTGCCGTTTCTTTTTTTTCTCACACATGCACCGCACACCACACACATTTTTTGTTCACTTTGGATCTCTAATCACCCAGTTGGGATTTTTGCACACATGATGGAACTTAAATTTTTACTGTTCCATTTGTGCAGTTTTTTCTACCTCTCTTTAACTTTCCCTTTCTTCCCCTTTGAGTCTTGCACAGATGCACAGCCGTTCCTGAGTTATTTTTGTTGTGTTACAGGACAAGCAGGGGATCCCATGGTGGTTGGGTCTGAGCTATAAAGGCATCTTTCAGTATGATTACCAGGACAAAGTTAAGCCCAGGAAGGTGAGATAATGCTCTTCCTGATCTATCTACCGCACAAACTAAACCGTTCCTCCTTCACTTTTTTAAATTCAGTTTATTTCACCCCAAGAAGAGAATTTATTCAGGGAACATGTTGCTTTATACGGAAAGCTCTCTGTCCTTCTTTTTTTACAGTTCCTATTGCCTATTGTTCCATTCAGTTATCAAATGTATTGTGTTTGCAAAGAGCACTAACAATGTTGTATAATTATTACTATCTGGAGATGTTCAGTCTTAGAATGTTTTGCATCCTGTCCTTAATTTATTTCTGCCTCCTCCCAGTCATTTCACTGTGTGGGTTATCTGCAAAAACAATTCTTACCTCACCTTTGACTTCCAGACTGGTTTCAAGCCTTGATCTCTGCCGTTCACCTTTGTCTCGAAAGATGTTATTTGTGTTAACAGCGTCCTTGCACACTGATTGCCCACTAAGACCCTTACTCATACATAAACAGATGCACACTCTCAGAGACAGGAAATGGACTGAACACTGAACTCACCATCCTGACGAATGCTTCCTGTCGCCCAAATGCTTTCCTGTTTGCCACTAACGTGTTTTGAGTGTGTCATAATTAGTGCATTCCAGTCACCAAGCCTGAAATTATGTCTCATTCAAGTGTGCTAAATCTAGTGGTTTCCTTGGTGTTAAGTAACCATGGTGATGAAAAAAAGGAGTCTGTGTATCTCACATCACCAGGTCATTCTGAGAAAACTCTGGATTGGTTGCAAACCGTGTACTTTTTTGATATAAAGCACAGGCTTACACTGTAAATTAAAGTTAAGTTGTGCAGCATGAATGGACTGGTATTTATATATGAAGTAACCGATTTGACACTACCCATGTGTTTATGGATTTATATTTAGAAGTTCTGAGTTGAGCATTTTGGTTGTTACCACCTTTTTTGGAACATACATTCAGCAGAAACTTCTCAATCACAATGTAGCATTAATTTTATATACATACATATATATATATAGGTTTTGTAGACTAAAAACTAACAATTGAGGCCATAAACCTATCAGGAAAACATGTCCTGAAGTCTTAAATCAGGAGACTTCCCTTACACACTGTTTAAAAGAATGTAGAATTAAGTGAAGTGAAAACCTTCCATATAGGTTTCCCTTCCCTCCCATTTTTCTTTGCTGTAAAATTTTCAGGCAGGTAAACAATGGTATATATTTGTCCGATGTAATTCCCATCAAAAACTAGAAGGGCTCTCTACTAAGACTGATGCTATAACGCTATTGCTTAAAAACCGAGCTGGTTCTTCTTCGCCAGCTTCCATGGCATTCTATCCAGTATTTTTTCAGCACCTTTGCTGAGAAACAAGCAAACAACATGCAAACTATACCTCTGTCTGGACAGAGAAAACAGAAGCAGGGGCCACTTTTTGAGAAGTGCCAGCTTATCAAGCATTCAGCTGCCATAGCAACAGTCAGTGTGACTCAAGGTCCATTAAGCTTTGGTGCTGACACCCTGACTTTGTTCTCCTTTCATACTCACCCTCCCTTATTTCTTCCATGCATTTGAGAGCAGAGAATGAGTGAGATTGGGCCTCTTTATCATGTTTCGACTCAAGCTGAAACCAAAAACTGATAAATTTGTTTAAAAAATTATTCACATTTTTATTTCTATATATGACTTTTAATTTCTATCGTATTTGCTGAATCTGGGTTATTTAGGTTTTCGAGGAGAAAAAAATCTCGCTGATGATTTAGAAGTCTCAAAACAGAGTTTGCATCATATATGACACACTAGGCATTAAAGGGTTAATAAAACATTACATGTTCAGCTAAACTCCACTGAACACAGTGAAGGTTTGTTCAATAATCAGATGATAAAAGAGAGTTAGCACTTCTTCTTTCCAGAGATGTGTTCTAGGAAAAGACGAAGGTCATTCGAATGCTAGTAAGTGAGTGTCACCACTATTTTAACTGCAGGAAGTGCAGATTTGGTGATTCGTCAGCCCACAAGTCAGATGGATACCAGCAATCACTGACTCACAGTGCAACCACTGTTAAAGTTTTCATTACTGTAAATCTGGGAGATGGAGGAGCAACGCTGATTATGAGACATTTTGGGGCTGTTGTCTTTGGACACAGGAACAAAAAACCCTAATGAATTAGAGAGTAGCTTCACGCTGTGGTGTACAATAGTTGTGCGCTAAAAGTAGTTCTCTTTAATTAGTTAGTTTTTATAAGGGGAGATCCTGTTGTTTCTAAATGCAAGCAACCTACCACACCCTCAACTTTTTTTTATTAGTGGTTTTAAAATACCTCCTCCAGTCTTACCACATGCTAAAAGCAGACACACTAGAACAGTTCATCATGGCAGGGGTTTACAGTGGACCCACACACTGTTCTAATACTTCATTAGTGTCTTGTGACTTACAGAGATGATAGAGTCTGTTAGTCACAGACCGGGGAAAAACAGTATGATTAAATAATAAGAATATTTAAGTTAAAAACCCTTTGTCAGCATCTGTTTTTGTGTTCTTTTTCCGAAACATTGAACAACAAGTTTTGTGACAACTGGTGCGCACTGGAACCCCACCCAAGGGTTAAACAATAGTTTTTGGGACTCCTAGTTCCAGTTATAGAAAAGAATACCTGGCTACACTATAGTTAAACCAATCTAAGCTATTTAAACTTTCTATTCTTTCAGTGGTCCTCTGGGAGTCTGCTACACCAAAGAAAGGCGTTTACACTCAATCAGATGTGACCTTTCATCTCCAGTGGATGTGTGTTTTTGTGTGCAAACATTATTGTGAGACAGACGTGGCTCCGTGCACACGGGCACCTCGTGTGTTTATGAATAATGACCAGTCACTTCCTCTGTCTGTGTCTGATTGTGCCATTGTCTGTAAGGCTTCTACAGCCAAATCGAAGAGGATTTATATCCACACGCACATGCCGAACCTTCAGCCTGATAACAGCAGCACCCGCCGGCTTTCACTGGAGTTCCCGAGGAAGAAGCTGCCAGCATGTTTTTATCAGATATTCAAGATATTAACAGAAGAAAGTCTTTTTTAATACAATAGGTTTATGTAAGAAGAGTACTTACATAATCTGGTATATACTTGAAAGCAAAAATGGCTAAATTTAAAGTTCAGGGTGGCATAATTGTGTCTCTTTGTAAATAAGGTGGCTCAAACAGATTCAAATACCTTCTGCGTACACGTACAGCTTATCCGCAAACATCAAAGTGCACTTTCAAAATTGCAGCAAGTCTGTCCAGCTGACAGTGAGGACAGTTTTAGTGGTCTCGTGCTTGAACACAGTTACAAACAGTTACAAACACCTATCTAATCTCCACAGCTCTGGCCCATATGTAGCCAACACTCACACAGTCACTCGTTCCATTTCTACTCTGCCTGCTTTTTTTAGCAGCATGCTACATTAGCACTTAACACTCCATTGACAACGTGCAGTACAGTAAAAGTTTTGATAAGATCACTGATTTTCTTTCATCGTGCACCCACAGGCACGCATGACTGTTTTGGGTTTTTGTGTTCATAATATTCCCCCCCCCCTTTTTCTCCCTCTCATCCTTCTGTCCATTGTTTTCCCAAGCTGTTAAAATTCCTCGGCTGTGACCTGTTCCTCCCTTCACACCCTTTCTCCTCTTACCCTCCCGTTTTCGCCTTATTTCTGTTCTCCTGTTTGATACTCGTTTCATGTTTCTGTGTGTCTCTTACAGCTGATAGATGCAGACCGTCTTGTGTTCTTAAGTAGCCGACACTCTGCTCTTTCCCAAGCACGAAATACACTCAGACATTGAATGTCTGTGTGTGCAGGCAGAGAGGTCTGACTAAACAAAGCAAGGGCACTTCAATCGGCAGGACCGCAAAAAGCTTCTTTCCCCCGTATCACGCCCCAGACCCCTCATCACACACACACCACAACCGCAGCCCAGAGCAGAGCCCACAGTCCCTCAGGGAGGGAGGAGGGGTCAGAAGGAGGGGAGGCACAAACGCCCCCTCACTTTTTAACGCTCCTAGCAAAGCTCTAGGAGAGGAGGAATCTTAACTTTACACACTTTCTCTCCGCCAGCACAAGCACATGCTTACAGATGGTGAGCACCCACCACCTCAGAACTTTCAGCTTCCCTGCGCCTGGGAGGATTTAAGATACACATATGTTTTGTTTTGAAGTACGTCTAGAGGGAACTTTGCTTGCCCAGCTGGGTTTGGCTTCTTTTAGAGCGGCGCTGATGGTTGTCAAAGGATCGGAAAGGAGGCAAAAAGAAAGTGAGATCTCCAAAGTGAGATCATCCAGTGCTGGGATCCTCTGTGGACACGACTGCCTGGTCTGGACCTGATCATAGAGCTCCAGATTAGGTCCTCCTCTCTTACCAACTCCTCCTTTTCAGCCCCGATTCCCCCCCCCTCCCCCCTCCTCCTCCTTACCCATTGCGTTTTCTTTCAAAACAAATTGGAACATACAGTGAAGAGACCCGGCTGAAAGCTGCGCGGATTTAATGTGAAGCACGTTTTTTCTGTGAGAAGTCCTGAAGAGTTTCTGTTTTTCCTAAATCTCAGGTGTTCCAATGGCGTCAATTGGAGAACCTCTACTTCAGAGAGAAGAAGTTTTCGGTGGAAGTTCATGACCCCAGGAGGTAAATTTATATCACAAACTGAAGCTGAGATTGATTTGATGCCGTTCTTTTCTAAGAAACCGTTTAATTATCAAGCATTCGTGTCCTCTTTGTCCAGAAGTCCTCATTGGACGATCGTGATCTTAAATCAGTAAATTTAATGATGAATGTTCTTGCAATTGATCTGTGGTCTCAAGCCTAATATCTGGAACTCATAAAAGTCTTACATCAGTTAAGAAATGCCTTCCAGTAGCTTTTACTGTAAATTACCACTGCGGCCCGAGTCAATATGTTGAGATTCAGATTCCATACTGCGCGGTACACGGAAAGAGAGATAGAATCTAATTGAGTAATGGTTGAAAAATTTGTCTTGGCAACAGTGCAAGATATTGAGGATGTCCTGGTGGAGCCCGCCACGGATTGAAAGGCTGATTATTAACACGCTCGTGCAGCCACATGCATGCAAAGAATACACGCGCTCTAGTGCTCGCGCACACAAACATGCACACATATATGTTAAAACCCTTGGTAGTTGACCACAGAAGGATAGATGGCTGTGCGATAGCTCTTTTGCGGAGGAAGTGACCTCTCTTGTGTTTATTTAACATGGCTATATGTGTGGAGTGTTATTCCAGTGACAGAGGGAATGGGAGAAAAAGAGACAGACAGGGTGAAGCAGAGAGCAGCGGTGTTTTCTTTAAAGGAAGCTGTCATTAGAGGGAGCTGGTCTGTTGCTCAGCTACAGATGTGTGTTTGAAAAAGGATGACTAAACAATGGGAAACATCGTGTGTGGCTTTGCAAAATGTATCTCTATCAGGACAGTTCTCCTCAGGCTTCAAAAGAAGCTCGCTCTCTAAGTAGCAGCACTAGTCACTGGAGCAGTCCAGTGGGAGTGTTTTCATTGCTGTAAACATGTAGCCATCTTTTTTATTCAGTGTATATAAGGAGGCTTTGTGTCCGCTCCTACTGTAGGGCGTCGGTAACGAGAAGGACGTTCGGTCACAGCGGCATTGCTGTGCATACCTGGTACGCCTGTCCTGCCCTCATCAAGTCCATCTGGGCCATGGCCATCAGCCAGCACCAGTTCTACCTGGACCGCAAACAGAGCAAGGTCAGTCTCTCCCACGACGTTTTAAGTCAAAGCGTACGATAGATCTCACGAAATAATTACAATTCTACAAGGCATGGTCAGCAGGAGTGGTGGGTTAACAGTTTACAGATGTGTTAACACAGCCTGTCCATGCTCGTCCATACAGTCAAAGATCCATGCAGCGAGGAGTTTGAGCGAGATTGCCATAGACCTGACAGAAACAGGAACACTGAAGACATCCAAACTGGCCAACATGGGCAGCAAGGGCAAGATCATCAGTGGCAGCAGTGGCAGCCTGCTCTCCTCAGGTCAGTGCGTGTTTGCTGCTTCAGAGGAAAATAGCCACGAGGGGGAAATACCCCGGCAAAGATTTGTCTTTGTGCTCGCATCTGTTGATGATGAGGAATCCTGCTGACAACCAGAGAGACAGAAACAGCTGTGACTGGAAAGAGAGCAGCGTTTCTGTGTTGAATGTTCTCAAACATATACTGTGCTCACACCACACCCAGTGTCTTTCAGTATGTATAGAACACCACTCCCATGTCACACAGACTCATCCTCCAGAGGCCCCCGACTCCTCTAATTTTAGTGGGTGAGAGAATGAGAGGGGCAGAGGGGCAGTGAACAACTTTGCGTGGCCTTTAAAACAATGCTTATCGGTGCTGAACAAGTAACGAGTGTGACGGGAAGATTTGTAACACTAGCTAAAATTAGAGTTGGGAGGGAAAATGCCCTTTTACTCCCATACAGCCACATACAATGTGTTCCATGCCAGGAAATCAAGTGCAGCAATTCCATTGATGAGAAACACCAGTACTGTAACCTGATTCGCTACTACTGTATAAATCACTTTAAGTTGCATGCATTAGTCCAGCCAAGCATAATCTATGATTAGCATGTACATAACTACATGGTCAGCTGTTTAAAGTATTTCACACTTTACTGAGTCAATTACTGTTGCCGGGGAAGAACACAGTTCCCTTTCAGTATGCATTGTCTGCTTGGGCTTGTCATTTCGCCATTGATCACCTCGGTTAGGTTTACTCCTTCCTTCTGTTTCACCTCCACCTAGCCCTTGCTCTTCTCATATATCCCTTCCTAACCTTCCTCTATCCTCCTCTGCGTTCTTCTGTAGTTCTGTTCGCACCTCATATCATTCAGTGTTTCTTCATTTTGTCTATCTGTGCCTTGTCACTTCTTTTTGTGACTACGGTGTTGATTTCTTGATGACTAGGGTAGATCTTAGTCAAACAGCATGAACGGGAACTGTGACACATCTGTGACACGTCTAATTGGGGCTTTCGAAATACATCTAAATTGTAAAGTCTTCAGAAATCTTTCAACGTGCAGGCTTTTTTCCTCCAAAACAGAAGTAATTTGGGTTCATCTAAGAATTATAGACAGCTGTTTATTTCTAACAAAACATTTTCACCAGTACTTTTTAGTATTTGCGTGTCCATCCGTCCGTCATCCCCACATAAGGGGTCAATGAGAGAGCAAGAAACACAGTGTGAGTGGGAGGGTATGAGTTGTTTTCAAACAAGACTGGCACCACCTCGGGGTCTTGGAGATGTGCGTCACCGACTTTGTCCTAAACTGCCCCTTCCTTTAAACACTCACACACTTGCACAAACACATCAGCAAAACTCAGTTTCCTTATCGAAACGTTCCACTCACTTCCTTGTAAACATCCTGCAAGACTAGCAGGTGCGCAAGCTATTTCTCCCTCTGCTTCAGATTCTGCCTCAGAACAGTACTCTGACTCCTGTCTTCACTTTACGTGTTGTTTGCACCTTGCAGGCTCTCAGGAATCGGACAGCTCCCAGACGGCTAAGAAGGACATGCTGGCAGCGCTGAGGGCCAGACAGGAAGCTCTGGAGGAAACGCTAAAGCAGAGACTAGAGGAACTCAAGAGCATCTGCATACGGGAGGCGGTAAGTGAAAATAATTGTTTGAATTGGTGAATATTTTGAAAAGCGTAAATCCTTTCTAATCTCATTTCAATGGCCTCACACTTCCTACCTTCCTTCTCCTTAAATTTTTCCAGGAGTTGACTGGAAAGCTTCCAAAGGAATATCCACTGGATCCGGGAGAGGAGCCGCCAACTGTGAGACGGAAGATCGGTACCGCCTTCAAACTGGATGAGCAGAAAATTCTACCTAAGGGAGAGGTGAGGCCATAACTTCCATTTCTTTTACTGGCACCTTATCTCTCACTCCAGTCTCATACTCCCCAAATAAAAACATGAGCTCATTTAGCAGAGTCAGCATTTGAAATGAATACCTAATAGTATATGTATTTGGCCAAGTGGTGTAATGCAGCAGCTGGAATATGTCAGCGTTAATTAGTTTAGTGAGTTTATCTCCTCTTAAGCTAGCTGTAATGTTAATGGTCCGCACTGAACAGTAGTGCTGTTTAAGGGCTCTGTGTTATTCTGAGCAAATCAAGGTTTTCCTTAGGATTTAAATGAAGCTAATATACTCTACATATTACTCTCAAAATGTAGTGGGATGAGGATTCACATGATAATAAAGTAACTGATTCTATCAGAATTTAATTTTGAAGTAACAAAGAAAACTGAGAACCCTGAAAAGCCACAATCTGAGACATCTTGATCTTGTAAAGTAGCTTTGTCTCGCTGCCGGTTTTGTGCCACGGTTAGATTTTCCAGAGCAGCAGAACTTCTAAATATAGCCCGGCTGGTTTCTCACCACAGGAAGTGGTGATAGTAGGATTGTGTGTGCTCCTGCATGTGTGCAGGCATTCATGTGGGTGTGTTCCACAGAGGTTTGTGTGCTTTGAAAAGAATCCAGGGACACGATATCACAAAAGTGCATCGCAAGCACAAACGGTGTTTCTTGATCTACACGGAGCACCTTAAACTCGTAGACACACAGAAACAGAAGCCGCTCGGCTGTAGTGTAAAGCCACTGTTAGTGAGAGGGATTCTTCAGAAATGAGGTAGCCCACTATGAAGTCAACCCAAGTGAATACATCATTGTTCTGCCTCTGTGGAGACAAGTGAAATCATGTGTGTGCGCGCTCAGATGTCAGTGAAGGAATTACGTGCTAGATGGACACAGTGTGTCACAGGACTTCGTTTTCTTGTCATGTTCATGAGTTTTAACAGTAGAGGTATGTCTGTATACATTTTACTGTGCAGGCAACACAGTATATATACAGTGCATTAAACAGAATATGTTTACTTGGTTCACCTGTGTGATTTGAGAAGTCTCAGGAGAGCTGTAGAAGAGGAGAGGACGGATTGATGGAGAGGCGTTATTACTGGGGACAGAGTGTCTCAATAGAGATTATCCAGTGGTGAGAAAATGCACGGCTGCAGCACAGATAAATGATTTCCGCAGTGTGTTTTCTCTGGCAAGGCTTTCTGTATGTGTATAACCGAACTACGTTGCATGGGAGAGTTATTCTGAATCCGTATCTGCAAACTAGAACTTGTTATTTTTGGATCATTCCTACATTTCTGTTGCTAAAAGCTGCGAGTGGATCCAGTAACTTAGTGCTTGTGTTACTCTAAGTTTGCAATCATGTTTGTGTATTTGCCAGGAAGAAGAACTTGAGCGTTTGGAGCGGGAGTTTGCCATTCAGTCACAGATTACCGAGGCAGCCAGGCGTCTCGCCAGCGATCCTCACGTAAGCAGTAAAAAGCTGAAGAAACAGAGGAAGACTTCTTATCTGAATGCACTGAAGAAGCTCCAGGAAATTGAGAACTCCATCAATGAGTACCGGGTCCGCTCTGGCAAGAAGCCTACGCAGAGAGCGTCGCTTATCATAGAAGGTACCAATAAACTGCCTGTTCGCTTAGGGAAAATCAAATCGCTTTCATATCTATGTCATATCAATTTGCTGTAATTGCCACCACAGACAGCAATATTCTTATCTGTACTGTTATATAAACCCACCCATTGTATGGCGAGGCTAGTCATTTTCAGTATTTTTGCTATTGATATAATAAAGATCTGAAAACAATGACACTGACACAAAAGCTTTTCGATTTTGTAACCTCTTGTTTTTGTTTTTATGTCCCATAGAAGCCAATATTGGCTCTGAAGACAGCTCATTGTCTGATGCACTGGTCTTGGATGACGGTGAGTTTCCGTCCCTCGCCTTATTCCCATTGATAGCTGTGCTGTTCCTAATAATAATATAATGTCTAATCCAATCCAATCATTACTTTGTTTCAGATGATCCTCAAGTTACAGGGACCCCCACCTTCTCTCCAGTAGCTTCACCTCATAAGGGGCTCCCTCCAAGACCACCATCTCACAGTCGCCCCCCTCCACCGCAGTCCCTGGATGGCCTGCGACACCTGCACTACACACGCTCTGACTATGACAAATCCCCTATCAAACCCAAGATGTGGAGCGAATCATCACTGGATGAGCCCTATGAGAAAGTCAAGAAACGCTCATCTCACTCGAGGTATGAGTGAGTTTGTCTTTAAATTTGTAATATAGCAATGTGATCTCTTGCTATATTTAATCAGAGTTAGACAACAAGTAGTTCATTCCAGTTACTGTTAGAGGAGTGTGTGTGCAAGAAGTATAATTGCAGAGAGGAACTGCAGCTAGAAAATGTAGAAAGTCAGTGGATGCTGATGATAATAATTGCATTTATTTTGAATGTAACTTATTTAACTTCTGTCTAGTCACAGGCGTTTCCCGAGTTCGGGCAGTGCAGAAGCAGGGGGTAGTAATTCTCTGCAGAGCAGCCCCATTAGGAGCCTTCCTCACTGGAATTCTCAGTCCAGCATGCCATCAACTCCGGACCTGAGGACCAGGACCCCGCACTATGTACATTCCACCAGGTCAGTTGATATACCTTAAATCATTTCCTGGCAGTTAAACTGACTAAGCCTTGTTTCCCAACTGGAAATAAGCCATTGGACCTCTTGACTTTAGCTCTCCTTTGCTGCTCTTTCTATTTTTCCATTTACTTAACTAGAAATTACAGCAGTTTCTGTGTTAAATAAGTTAGTAGATTTTTAAGCCCAGTCTTTACACTTAGTATTTCTGCCAACTCTCACAGGTCAGTGGACATCAGTCCCACCCGTCTGCACAGTCTTTCTCAGCACTTTAGGAACCGCAGCTCCAGCCTTGAGTCCCAGGGCAAACTGCTGGCATCCGATTCCGACGCACATCCACACACCCTGGGCAGCCCTGACTTCTTCCTCGGCCCAGGACGCAGCTCCAATGGCTCCGACCCACTGGATGACTGTTCATCCTGCACCAGCCAAAGCAGCTCGGAGCATTATTACCCCTCTGGAGGACCCCCTGGCAGTAACCCAAATTACTCTACTCTGGGAGAAGATTCACCCTCCAAAGCCAGGCAGAGGCAGAGGCAAAGACACAGGTAAGAGCAGGGAAATATACATATATATATGTTCATGTGTGAGACTGTCGTATATGATTTTTTGTTTTCTCTGCAGGTCTGCAGGTCACCTGGGTTCCTCTAACTCTGGCTCAATGCCAAATCTGGCAGCTAAGAACGGTTCTGGTGGAGGATTAGGTGGTAGTGGAGTGGGAGGGGGACACCATGGAGTCTACCTCCACAGCCAGAGCCAGCCCTCTTCCCAGTACCGCATCAAAGAGTACCCTCTATATGTAGAGGGCAGCCCCAACCCCGTGGTGGTGCGCAGCCTGGAGAGTGATCAGGAGGGACACTACAGCGTGAAGGCTCAGTTCAAGACCTCCAGTTCCTACACGGCTGGGGGACTGTACAAAGAGGCTTGGGGGGGAGAGGAGGGAGGAGAGGGAAGCGGCCGACTTACGCCGTCACGCTCTCAGATCGTAAGGACTCCATCATTGGGGAGAGAGGGTGGTGGAGGCGGAGGAGGTGGGAGGGCGGCCGTTTCTGAAGAACTGCGGTGCTGGTACCAGAGGTCTTCAGGGAGCCTAAAGGAGAGGAGTCACTCACATTCGGGATCCACATCCTCTGAGACTGGGTCACAGCAAGGAACTCTGGGACATGGTCGAGGAAGTAGAGTAGGAACACTCGCCAAAGGCTCACCAGGTAGGTCTCATCGTGAAACCTTATCTTAAACAGGTGAACCGATATCAGCGGTCACAGCCTCATACTCATAGCCTTGAGATTATGAGACTGGCACGCTACTGCACTGAGAAGGCATGCAGTACATCCCTGCTGTCACTAATTTTGTCAAATGACCCCGTGACAAAAAGGCAAACCGAGGCCATCGCCACATGTAAAGCATGGTTTGAATTCCTTTGCTCCTCAGATTATTGGAACTACTGAGGGATCGTTTAGCTTCAGATCTTCTGACTGAGAGCAGTTCTATATTAGTTTTCCATAAATGTTTAGATTATAACAACAATTGTTAATAATTAAACGGCTTACAAATATCTCTGCATTCAGAAAAAAATGACAGAGCTTCTTAAGCTAATATTTTAATTTCACGAGGGTAGACAGTTGCTCAGTTTGACTAATTATGGAGTTTGAGCAGCAGGAAAATACACTTTTAATCTTTTCTAGTGGTATTGATGTTTTTGAAGAAGGGATGGGAAATTTTGCAATAGACTGTTTAAGGCGTCAGTAGAGTGAGGCATGTGTGTGTGGGTATGAAGCAGTGTTCCTCTGGTTGGCTGCTTGAGCTAAAAGGCAAGCCTGTTAAAACTCTAGCTTTGGATAGGAACATATATCCTATCCAAAACTGGCTCTCTCTGTTCTACTCTTTTGTCTTTTTCTCTTTCTCATTAACCCCAAATGGTATCTGACTGCCCCTCCCTGACCCTGGTAATGACAGAGGTCTCTTCCTGTTACAAAGACGTTCTTCCTACCCACTGTTGTCAAGTGCTTGCTCATAAGGGATCATCTAATCGTGTGGTTCTCGCTCTTAATATAGTTTACAATGTAAAACACTCTGAGATGGCTGTCTGTGTGGCTCTATGTAAATTGAATTGAATTGACAAACTGATTTGTGTTGGTCTCGGTTGTAATTTACTAGCTGGTATTGCTGATTTTAAAAATGCAACTAAAACTCCAAATCTTTATTTTATGAGACCTTCACACTGCCTGCTGTGTGACCCACGCGTGCAATAATTAATGAGATTATTCATGTATATTCAGAGATTAGGGTTCCGATTAAGAACTCTTACTGAGTAGTTCAGCAGTTCAACTCGCATTTATTTTTAATTATACATAAATTAATAATGTTTAGGAAAATTGTAATTACTAAGCAATTAAAGCTGAATTTAAATGTTGAATTTCTGGATTTGTGATCTGAAGCCTCACAGGCTTTGGTCACGTCGCACACACGTTAATGTTTCCCGCATTTATGTGAGGATTCTCACATCTTCACCCAGTTTTCTCACTTGAATGACAATTAACCTTCGAATGTCCCTTCGGGGAAGTAAATATACATCTTTTTGGCCCAAGGATGACATTTTGGTACTTGCTCATCAATTATGTGGAAGTGTGTGCTAAATGCATTTTTGACAAGTCCATATGAAGAGATAAGGGCTAAGAACAAAATAAAAAAGAAGCCATGCCCCGTGTGAGGCTCGAACTCACGACCTTCAGATTATGAGACTGACGCGCTGCCTACTGCGCCAACGAGGCCTGT